TTGGCAATTATTGAAAGACCGGACCACCTTTCAAAACGTGCGCATTAGTATACAAACATATTTAGACAAATTTATTAGAAAAAAAATTCAAACACGAATATTTTTAATTAAATATATTTGATTTGAGTTGTTTTTAAGTGCTTATATTTAGGGTTTGTTTCATAAAAGACTTTTGTATTTTCTTTTTCATGTATTCTACAATTAAATTTGTTTTTTGTTTTGTTTTTTTTCTAAAAGTAAACCAAGTTTTTTTTTTTTTTTTTTTTTTTTTTTTTTTTTTTTTTTTTTTTTTTTCCACTTAGAAAACAACTTTGCATTTTCTCTTTTCATGTATTCTACTATTTTTTTGGTTATTTTATTCTTGGAGTCGGTTACCGCAGGTAATTCTATTGGTTTTATCTCATAGGAGACATCACATATTATTTTTTTTATGCTTTAGACAGAACTTTTTTTTTTCAAAATAAACTCAATTTTTACATATTCTTTGTTAATTCATTTTTAGAATAGTTTACCCAACATGTACCTTATATCCCACTAACTAAGCATCAATCACCTAAAAGAAGAAGTTAGATTCTAAAAAAACTAGGATAAACGACACTTATATTATCATAATAAACGAGAGTAGTCTTAGTAATAGGCAACGAAATGTCAAGAAAAAAGTTCTTAATCAAACATGTTTCTAAAACCACATTAGCAACACCTGGTGTTGGGTTATTGATGCTTATTACAAAATTAAAATAAGACACAAACTCCAAAAACAAATTAAATAAAACATAATAAATCAATCATGGATCTATGTTTATCCAACTTTATGCAACAAAGATTATAATAACACAAGAAAGATAGACAATTAACTCAACTTGAAGTAACAAGAAACGAAGAAATCAGAGAACTCAAAATAGAGCTCATTTATTGCAGCCGCACCCATTGGTTTCAAACAAGTAAGATTTTTTTTTTCTTTTTTGCTCCAAGCAAAATTTGGCCAAACCCTTGTGGAAAGGTTCTTGAGTCGTCAATGAGAGGGAGGATGGAGAAGATGATCAAATTATGATTTTATTAGTTGCTCATTTGGTCTTACATGCCTTCAAAAAAACAAACAACACCTAAATTATGGCAATAACGCCATAATTCAAACTACTACCCATTAATGCATAAAAAAATTTATCCGTAGTTTCTAGTTATTACATTATTAATTAATAAATAACTAATCAATCCCATTATTTATTTCTTATTGCTTTTCAATTTCAGTCAAGTGTGTAACCCAATAGAATTTACTAATTGTGTCACTAACTTATTGTGTCGGAGGATATATCTCCAACACCCTGGTAACCGGGTTCGACATGTGTCGGGACAACCAACCCAACCGACGTCAATATATGTGGTAAAACATGTGGAAAAATATTATAAAGTGTAAGACAAGCAAGAGAACCTTCAACATAACATAGTGCACACTTTAAAGCCACCAAATGAAATTCACAAGATGCATACATATGGAAGCATATACGTTGAACTGCATATAAGATATTCGGTCGAGTAAATGTGACTTATTGAAACGTTCCAACAAGACTACGACATACAGTAGAGATTGGGTAGTCCATCACTAGTACTAACTTTTCCCATGCCACTTTCAAGCATGTGTGTGATCAGTAAATAGGTATTCTAAATCTTATTTGTGTGTTAACCTCCAACAACTATGTAAGAATGAGAAAAATGATAAATGGATTGGGATGGGTAGGGTTAAGTGTGAGCCCAATCTTCTTTTTATCAAAATTATTAAACTTTAAAATAAATAGGAAAACGTGTAAAAAAAACCAAAATGGAAAGTGAGATATTTCAGTTTGAAGAGAGATCAAATTCACAATGAATAATTGTCATAAGGGCATGATATGCAAAATTTGAGCTTTATGGACCCAAACCCCAACAAAATGACAAACACAAGGACCAAATTTGTAGTTTTCTCAAAATTATACTACATTCAGAGATTCCCTCCCAGATATTTGGCAAAAGCTGCATCTCCGTCTTCTATCCTCCCTTCCACTGATTGTGTTATGAAGATTCAGTATATTCCTTCATCCTCCTATTTCCATCAGATCAAACCCAACCCCCATAAAAACCCTAAAACAAATCCATCATGTATTACACGATTTCATCAAACACGTAATTCAACACCATTCTGCTCCTACAGATCCAATGCGTATGTTGGAATCCTCTCTCTGTGATGTGTGCGAAACAATGTTTTTTTTTTTTCCCTTAATTTCTGGTTCTTGTTTTCTCGATCAGCAGTTACTATTACGCATATACGACATGCCAACTGCAAGAAGAGGATTCACAATTCAGAAGAATTTCAAAGAAACAGAGTAAAGGGGATGATCCCAGTCCCAGTTTTCCGATTACAGTTTCCGGCAGGAAAAAGGGTTCTGTTGCCGGTGCAGTAGCTCTAATAATTGGTACAAGTATCGGGTCGGGGATCCTTGCTCTACCACAGAAAACTTCTCCTGCGGTAAGAGACTTCCATAGTTGCATTAACGAGATCCCGGATGCAGATGCTTTCCGGTGATCCTTTTACATTCAACACAGTTTTGAAACCAGATCTTAAATCTTACTTCACTAGTTTTCAATACTTTGAAATACTCTGAAATACAGGGGTTGATTCCAAGTTCAATATCTTTGAGTTTGTGTTGGGGATTCCTGTTGATTGAAGCATTGTTACTAGTCGAAATCAATGTGGGACTTCTTAAAAAGAAGAACATAGTGAAGAATGAGAATGAGTTGGAAGTGATCTCCATTAGAACCATGGCTCAAGAGACATTAGGTGAATTGGGTGGAACCATCGCCACTTTGACCTATGTGTTCTTGGGGTACACATCCATGATTGCTTATGCTTCAAAATCCGGTGAAATTCTTTTCCATTTGATCAGGATTCCCGAATCAGTTTCGGGGGTTTTCTTCACCATGCTCTTTGCAATTCTCATTTCCATTGGAGGAACACGCACAACAGATCAAGTGAATCAAATCCTAACAGTCTCAATGATAGGTATTCTTATTATTCTCTTCAGAAATCTTGAATATGCCACGTAAGCAACTTCTCAATCACTGTTTCTGTATCTAAGTATCTATATATGATGTGCTACAAATACAATGTAGGGTTGTTAGTAGCAATTGAAGTTCTAGCGATCTTGTTTGGAGGGTGGTCGGGATTTGAAGGCAATGGTGATTGGACAAAAGTTCCATCAACTATTCCTGTGATGATATTTTCTTTGGTTTATCATGATTTAGCTCCTGGTAATGATCAACTTTTCTTGGCTGTTTTGACTTTTGACTATTTTTTTTGCTTTACCTCAAGTCAACTCTACATGTTTTTACTTCAAATTTAAATGGGTGTTTCAACTTATTCCAATAACTTACCAACTCCTGTCAACTCTACATTTCTTTGACCATGTAATTTCGTGTATTATGATGAAATCTTGATGGGTGTTTTGACTATTTTCAGTTCTTTGTGCTTATTTGGATGGTGATATTGAACGCATAAGGACTTCAGTTATTCTTGGTAGTATTGTACCTTTGGTAGGACTCTTGGTTTGGAACGCGATAGCTCTTGGTCTCTCGAGTCAAACCGAGCCCCTCATCGACCCAGTTGAGTTGCTCATGAGGTCTATCTCTCTCTCACACATACACACACACTTGACTAAATTCGTTTATATGATCTCAAAATTGTAAATTCAGGCAAAAATGGGATGGAGTTGACATCATGGTAGAGGCGTTTTCACTTCTAGCAGTTGGGACATCAATAATAGGAACCCTCCTAAGCTTCTCTCAGTTCTTCAAAGAGCAAATAGTCAATAATTTGACTTGGGGTTCTTCTTCGTCATCATCACAGGCAAACTCAACTCTATTTCCAAAAAAAGTCCGGATTTTTAAGCTAAAATCTTGATTTCTCTTGCAGAAATCAAGAACCGAGTTAACTGGGATTGTGGGAAAGTGGTGGAAAAACAACAGAACCGGTTTCACAGCCACAGCTATGGTTGTTGCTCCATCTCTTTTTGTGTCTACTACTGTTCCAGACGTGTTCTCTTCTGCTACAGACATTGCTGTAAGCTTTATGTGTGTGTTTTTGAAGGTGTTTTTCTGTGTGTAAACTGTAAACTCTTTTAACTTTTTAATTGATGTTATCCAAACAGGGAGGCTACTGCATGACAATGTTGTATGGAGTACTTCCACCAGCTATGGCATGGGCTATGCATGATGATGACGATGATGATGATGATGATGATAAAGGAATATCAAGAACAAGGCCAGTCATAATCGCGATTGGACTATTTGCTTGTGGATTCATAATGGAACAAATGTTTATTGATCTATCAATCTTGTGGAATCATAGTGTATAAAAAGTATGCAACCATAGTTTCAAATACAAGTTGTAGATGTAAAATCTCAGTCCATAATGAAAACAATTAATGTTACACACGCAAAAAAAATGAATTTTTGTTCAAGAACACATACTGCAACTGCAAACTTTCATTACTTCATTAGTATTTTACGGAGGTGATATGTTTCAGAAGCATCTCAACAACATCAAGTGAAATCCTATCGGCTTCTGTTTGGAGGTGTTGAATCTTTTCATCTGTTTCCTTCTCCAAACGTTTCACATTTGCACCCGAGTCTCCACTTGACTGTTTGTTTCCCATGAGTTAAAAAAAAATGGTTGTTTTTGGTGTTTAAATGAATGCTTGTTTTGGGATTTTAAGTGTCAACTTACCTCAGTGAGTTTTCTTTGATAATCAGCTTCCATTTGAGCACGAAATTCAGTCACCTCCCTCTCCGCCTCTTCTTTGGCTTGTTTTAGTCTAGCCAACTTTGCTGAAAACAGATCAAAAATTAGATCTCCTGGTGTTTGTTGTAGAATCAAATCTCTATTTTGACTTTTGAATTTTGAAGTCAAACTAGTAGTTAACAACAAAGATTTCAATCAAGGAAAATGGTGAAAAGAAACAAGAAAATACACACCATTTCGGGCAGCATTCACGATTTGTTGAGCTTCTTGCTCTGCTGTTAACAGTAGTTGGATTCCATTTTGGCCCCTGTTCCCACCATCCATATTTGCTAATAATCTCTACACACCAAGAAAGTGCGACATTAGATTAATGTAGAATTACAAAAATATCCCTAACTTTTATCAACTTGTTGCAGATATTTATCTATCGAGCAATCAGTTTAAGCACGCAAACCTAACAAAATCGGGTTAAAACCAATCAAACATATTCAACCCGTCATCAAAGAACACCACTAGATAAATCATCACAAATCCTGTTAGCTAGAAGAAAACTTACATAATTGATGAGTTCTTTTTAATTGATCAAACCCATGATCCAATTACTTCTAAGTTCTACGGAATCATTGATGAACAAGCTCGCTTGACAAATTTAAGTAACCAAATTATAATCTATCGTTTAAAAGTAGTATCATCAAACCCGATCCAAAATATGGT